TCACCAAGTGGCAGGCATAACCTGTGACTAGAATTCAAGTTCATGAACATGAGAATCTTCACAGTATTCACGTCACCATCCCAAGGACATGCATAAAAAGTATCGTATCGTATGCGGTCAGCCTGCAAACAATGTGAAAAATTAACGTTCAACTAAGCATTTCTGTATTTATATTGATTGCACTTACAAATGCTAATATTCTTTCCCCCATCCATCCAATTGAGAATAATATTATAATATACAAAGATATGTGACAAAATGATACAATATCAAATTGCTAAAAATTGAAATTTATAAAGAATTTTTCAGCACACAAATTAAAATATTACAATTAATATTGTGATAAAAAGCAACGCAGTTATTGAACCGCCAATCACAAACAATAAAAGTATGGGCAATTCAATGACTTTTGTGAAAGTTATCCATATTCTAAAATTTAACTATTAATAGACATTTTATCCGGGTTGGTTAAACCTGCTTAATCAAGTATAAATGCTGATTGTGTGCCAATATTAACTTGCGATAACGTATTTTCTTTCTGGATGTAGACTGAACTTGTTGCAGATTCGTTTTAAATACATCATAAAATGTATCAAAATATATCAGCAGACAGTATATTAAAAACACGGTGTTCATCAAACCCAATGTAATGCCGGCAATGAAACAAACTGAATATAAATTGTAGAGAATGCGCTGATAATTTTCAATGTTATTAATAAAAAAGTACTAAAACATGAATAATTATTAAAAGAAAGTATTTTGTATAAATTAATAACTTACACTTGGAAAAACATATCCGCAAGAATACTGCTGTGATTTATCATTACATGTTTGCAATTCAATCATCAACATTCCAAAGGTAGCAGTTATTGCAACATAATAATATAGGAACTTCTGTAATTTGTTGTTGGAATGAAAACCACATAACACTTTTCTGTATTTTAGACTTAGGTAAGGATTATTTTCCATCATGCTGAATATCATAACAATCTTGTTAAATTTGTTTTTTAAAGAAATAGTTGCGATGAGTGCATATGTATATGATAATAATGTGGACAAAGTAAAGGAAACTTTGACCAAATGTGTTCCGTGTTGAAACTCATAAATTAAATAACCGATATTTCCAATATAAAATATTAAAGCGCAGACCACGAAAATTACTTTTTGCAATGCACATCTTATTTTATTTTTGGGGATAGAGCCATAAAATTTGGAATAGAGATTTGCACTCTTTAATAGAGCCGTAAGTTCTAAGTTTCTATTCATACTTTTGCACAATAACAATTATAAAGGAGTATGTGTGTAGAATGAATCTTACTTGAAATATAATCTTGGAATGCCTAACTTCTGATTTTGGTAGACATATATAATTAATAATAAATGATAATATCAATATAATGTTGCTGTGGAAATTAATAATATAAAAGATAATATCAATAATTTGAGATATCAATATCTAAACACTAAATAAAGATATGTAGGTACTTAATTTATAGCCAGCAAACCGACAAAACTGTTATTATTGTAATTTTTTGATAATCTTTGATTCAGTGCAGCGGGTAATCGTAAGAAATATGAAGTAAAATTATAACTTACATAGTGTTAAAACATATCTTTCCTTTTTATGCTTGTATTATGATTGGCGGACTACTGGGGCAGATATGTGGAATTAATAAAAACAGAACAGATAATGAATCGTGCGATTTTTTAGTATACAAGAATTAGTTATAATATCATAGAATATTAATTTTAAAAAAGAGGATTGTACAAATAATTATTGTTTGTGTTTGGGTTCTCATAGAATCAAGATTTATTGATATAGAGTGAATAATGAGTACATAATAAATATATAAATCAAATCAATTTAAATCAAAATATTAATTGCTTTGAATGTGTAATTCACACGCAATAATTTATTCTATTCTAAAATACTTTCAATGCACATTTTATGAGAAGCTGCAATTAGTATCACTAATATTGAATTGATTAAATTAACGAATTAATTTTGTATTAATTATTGCTCGTAAATATCCGTTTAACTGACGTTAAATGTTTTGTCTCTTTTAATTGAATTAATATATCCCATCACAATAGAGTAAGCAAACTTACACACCTACAAATGAAATAAATGTAATATTTGGATTTAAAGATAGCTACGCGTATAGTTTTGATACAGAAAACATAATCTGTGACTAATTCGTGTTCATTGAACATGAGAATCTACACAGTATTTACGTCACCATCCCTGGGACATGCGTAAAAAGTATCGTATCTTATGCGGCCAGCCTACAAACAATATAAAAAATAAACGTTTAACAAAGCATTTCCTTATTTATATTAATCGCACTTACAAATGCTAAGATTCTTTCACCCATCCATCTCATTGAGAATAATATTATAATATACAAGCATATGTGACAATATGATACAATGTCAAATTGCTAAAAATTAAAATTTATAAAGATTTTTTCAGCACACAAACTGAAATATTACAATTAATGCTGTGATAAAAAGCAACGCAGTTATTAATCCGCCAATCACAAACACTAAAAGTGCGGGCCCACTTTTAATTTTTGTGAAGGTTATCCATATTGTAAAATGTAACTATTAATAAACATTTTACCTCAGTTGGTTAGACCTGCTTAATCAAGTATAAATGCTGATTATGTGCCAGTATTAACTTGCGATAACGAATTTCTTTTCTTGGTATGTATAGACCATAGGTCTCAAAGTATATCAGCAGACAGTATAATAAAAACACGGTATTCATCAAACCCAATGTTATGACGGAAATGAAACAAACTGAATATAAATTGTAGAAAATGCGTTGACAATATGTAATGTTATTAATAAGGAAGTACTAAAACATGAATAAATATTAAAAGAAAGTATTTGGAATATATATTTATATATTAATAACTTACACTTGGAAATACATATCCACACGAATACTGCTGTGATTTATCATTACATGTTTGCATTTCAACCATCAACGTACTAAATGCAGCTGCTGTTGCAACATAAATATATAGGAACTACTGTAATTTGTTGTTTGATTGAAGATCACGTAACACTTTTGGGTTTTTCAGGCTTAGATAAGAATTATTTTCGACCATACTGAATATCAAAAGAGCTTCGATAAATGTGTTTTTTAAACAATTACTTAAGGCGAGTGCAAATGTATAAGATAGTAAAGTGGACAAAGTAAAGGAAACGTTGACTAAATGTGTTCCGTGTTGAAACTCATGAACGAAATAACCGATATTTACAATATTATTACTATATTAATGCGCAGACCACAAAAACTACATTTCTTAATGCACATCTTATTTTATAGTTGGGGAAGGAACCATAGTATTTTGAATAGAGATTTACACTATTTAATAGAGTCGTAAGTTTTAAGTTTCTATTCATTCTTTTGCAAAATATAAATTATAAGGGAGTATGTGGGTTGAATGAGTCTTACTTGAAATATAAACATGGAATGCCTACCTTCCTATTTTGCTTGATATTTATAATTAATAATAAATTATAATATTATTATAATGTGTGGCTGTGCCAGCCAAGTGAGGAGACCGTTTTTGAATTTATTGATAATCTTTTGTTCAGTACAGCGTGTAATCGCGTTAAGTATGAAGTGGAATTATAGCTTGAATAGGAGGTATATTAAATATCAAGTGGACTTTAATTATGATAATTTAGTGCAAACGTAGCGAGCGTTAAATGAATCGAGTTTTTAAAAACGTTTGTGATGCTTACGCCCTTTTTTCTGCTTCCACTTTATTTCCAAGTTTGGGGTTCTGTATTTTAAATCTTTACTTACTTACTTTACTTGACTTACGGAGCATTGCAAATACGCAGACGCAAGCTCCACTCCGTGACCAAAACCCCTGACTAAAGTTCTTTAGTCATGGCATTGGCCACCCGTGTATGAAGTACATCTTTTTGTGCTTCAAAACCGAAGGTTTAAAGGTAGAAGTAGAGAAAATGTATTTGGAGGCAATACCAACGTCTTCAACATACGCTAGGAAAAATGTGTCATTTCAATTATAAAAACACAGCAATAGGGGATACAATGATTACTTAAATATAAAAAAACCTAAATATTTTGATTATAAAGTGAAAATCTCGTAAATTCTATTCTTTCTGAATTCTAAATTATTGATTGCCATCTATTAGATTAAAAAATGTATCAGTAATTTTTAAACTGTATTTCAAATAGTAAATAGTACTAAAACAAAATGTTACAAATATATGCGTGGCTAAATTGAAGGATACATTAGCAAATGTTCCTCCGTGTTGATACTGACGTATTATATATATAATATTTCGGGAATAAAAAATTGAACTCAATTAAACTTAAGTTGGAATACACCTGTGCGCTTCTTAATAAAGTTTTAATGCCCACAGCTTTCTTCATTTTTAACGTATTATTCCGTGACGTTTGTTTTAGTATGTTGTGAAATAGCTCTTCAATATGCGTGATAAACTGCATTTTGTAAGATAGACACCGTGAATTATATTATATTTGTTTTATTATTCATAATTCATTCTTATGATGAACATTGCATCAATAATTTATAGAATCATCAAAAAGAAATCAGCAAACTAATGAACATATAATGTATGCATATATGTATTATCTTGATGTAAAATTTGATACAAGACTAGAATTTATAATTTTTTTTACTCAAATACTACTGCACAATACTCTTATATTACTTATTGTTGATATAGAATGTGGAATGTAAAATAACAATGTTTCTTAATTTTTTTAGTACTAGAAAGTGATATGAATTGATATGCAAAGAATGTTAGGGTTTTTCGAAAGAAGGAACTTTAACAGCTTTCGACAACAGCTTTCCGCAGACATGTGGAGTTAATACAAAAATCAGATACTGAAACCTGTGAATCTTTATATTAGTAGAATTAGTTATAATAGCATAGAATATTAATTCTTAAAACAGGATTGTACAAATCAATATTGTTTGTTTTTGTGCTTCCATGAATCAATTTAAATGAAAAAAGTTATTGTTTTGAACGTGCCATAAATTATTCTGTTCTTAAATACTTTCATTGCTCATTTTATGAGCTTATTTGTTGATATAGCTTGAAGTTGCAATTCGTATCACTAACATTAAATTGATTGAATTAACGAATAAATTTTGCATTAATTATTTCTAGTAAATATCCGTTTAACTAGTACTGAATATTTTGTCTCATTTAATGGAATTAATATATCCCATAACAATAGAGTAAGCAAACTTAAACACCTACAAATGAAATGAATTTAATATATCGCTTCAAATGAACGTATAATTTTGATACAGAAAACACGAGAGCGTTTGAACATTTTCCATAATCACCAAGTGGCAGGCATAACCTGTGACTACAATTCAAGTTCATGAACATGAGCATCTTTACAGTATTCACGTCACCATCCCAAGGACATGCGTAAAAAGTATCGTATCGTATCCGGCCAGCCTACAAACAATATGAAAAACTACGGTTAAGCTAAGCATGATCGTATTAAAATTAAGCTCACTTACATATGCTAATAGTCTTTCACCCATCCATCCCATTGAGAATAATGCTATAATATACAAGAATATGTGACAAAGTGAGACAATGTCAAATTGCTAAAAATTGAAATTTATAAAGATTTTTTTCAGAGCACAAACTAATACACTACAATTAATTCTGTGATAAAAAGCAACGCAGTTATCAATCCGCCAAACACAAACAATAAAATTGTAGGCAATCCGTTAACTTTTGTGAAAGTTATCCATATTCTAAAATGTAACTATTAATAGACATTTTATCCGGGTTGGTTAAACCTGCTTAATCAAGTATAAATGCTGATTGTGTGCCAATATTATCTTGCGATAACGTATTTCACTTATTGGTGTAGACTGAACTTGATGCAGATTCGTTTTAAATACATCGTAAAAGGTATCCAAGTATATCAGCAAACAGTATATCATAAACACAGTATTCATCAAACCAAATGAAAGGCCGGCAATGAAACTAACTGAATATAAATTGTAAAGAATGCGCTGATAATGTTCAATGTTATTAATAAAAAAGTACTAAAACAGGAATCAATATTAAAAGAAAACATTTTGGACAAATTAATAACTTACACTTGGAAAAGCATATCCGCATGAATACTGCCGTGATTTATCATTACATGTTTGCAATTCAACCATCAACATAGCAAATATGATAAATATTGCTGCATAAACATAAAGGAACTTCTGCAATTTGTTGTTGGCATGAAAACCACGTAACACTTTTGCGTTTTTCAAACTTAGATAAGGATTATTTTCAATCATACTGAATATTACAAGCGCTTCATTATAATTGTTTTTTAAACAATTGGTTGTAATGAGTGCATATGTATAAGATAGTAATGTGGACACAGTAAAGGAAACGTTGACTAAATGTGTTCCATGTTGAAACTCATGAATTAAATAACCGATATTTCCAGTATAAAATATAACAGCGCAGACCACAAAAATTCCATTTTGCAATGCACATCTTATTTTATTGTTGTTGTCAGAGCCATAATATTTTGAATAAAGATTTGCACATTTTAATAGAGCCATAAGCTCAAAGTGTATATGCGTTCTTTTGCTCATTGGAAATTGTATATGTGTACAGAATGAATCTAAATTGTAGTATAAACTTGGAATGCCTAACTTGCAATTTGGTTAGATATATATACTTAATAAGTAATGATAATGTCATTATAATCAAAGTTGTTGATCTAAATTATATCATTAATAATATCGGTTATATAATTTGTGTTATCTATATCTAAGCACAAAATAATGGTATGTATGTAATGTATAGGCAGCAAAACGACGAAACCGATTTCGATGAAATTTTCTGATAATCTTTAGTTTAGCGCAGCGGGTAATCGTGTGAAGTATGAAGTGAAATTATAGCTGAAATAGTATATTAAGTATCAAGTGGACTAAACGGCACTTTAACCACGCAATTTTCTACTTTCTTCTACTTTTTTTTCTACTTATACTCAAGAAGTTTTACAAGTTTTTGTATTTAAAATCTTTGAAATTGGCTGACTTATTTGACAGACGGCGCATGGCTTTTCATATGGTCTTGGGTTGCACCCTAGGAAAATGCGCGGACGCCGGCTCCACCCGCAACTAAAGCCAGTGACTAAAGTACTTTAGTCACGGCCTTGGCTGTCCGTGTTTGAAGTATAACTTTTTCTGTAACAAAACCGTGAAAAAACTGTCGTTTCGAATGTGGAAGCAAAAAGAGGTTTTAAAAATGAAATTGAATTTTGAATGGAAATTCAATTTTAATTTATATTTATGTATTAGTTATGTAATTTGAATAGAGATGTCGAAATGATGCCCGCATTGGCAAAAAAAGCTGACTTTGAATAGTGTGCCTTATTTTTTGTAATTGATATACCCCATTACAATTGAGTAAGCAAACTTAAACACCTGCAAATAAAATAAATGTAATTTTAAAAAAAATCAATTCATAGTTTTTTATACCGAAAGCACAAAAGCGTTTGAACATGATCCGTAATCGCCGAGTGGTAGCCGTAATTTGTGACTACAATTCAAGTTCATCAACATTAGAATCTTCACAGTATTCGCGTCACCATCCCAAGGACATGCATAAAAAGTATCATATCGTATGCGGTCCGACTATAAACAATACAAAAGTTCAATGTTTAGCAAAGTTTTACTGAATTTAATTTAATCCTGCTTACAAATGCTAAGATTTTTTCCCCATCCAGCCCATTGCGAATAATATTATAATATACAAGGGTAGCTGAAAGAGGGAAACCAAATCAAATGCCTGAAAATAACAAATTTAAAAGGTATTAAAGTTTAATAATTAAAAATATTACAATTAGTTCTGTGATGAAATTCAAAGCAATTATTAATCCGCCAACAACAAATAACGAAAGTGAAGGCCATCGAGTAACCATTGTGAGATTCGTCCACATTCTAAAATTTACGTATTAATAGACATTTTATAAAATGTTTTTTATGATTTTACTTGCTTAATCAGGTATAAATGCTGATCGTGTGCCAATATTAGCATGTCATAACGTATTTCCTTGTTTAATGTTGACTGAATTTGTTGCAGATTGGCTTGAAATACACCGTAAAACCTATCAAAATATACCAGCAGACAGTATATCATAAACACAGTGTTCACTTTACACAGTGCAACGGACGCAATGAAACAAACTGAATAAAAATTGTAGAGAATGCGTTGATAATGTTGAATATTTTCAACAAAAAAGTACTACAACAAGATTAAATATTAAAAAGAAGTATTTGGAATTAATTAATACCTTACACTGGGAAAAACATATCCGCACGAATACTGTCGTGATTTATCAGTGCAAGTTTGCAACTCGAAGATCAACATAGCAAAGGAAACAAATATTGCAGCATAAAAATAAATGAACCTCAGTGATCTGTTGTTCCAATGAATGTCACGTAGTACATTCGCATTTTTTAAGCTTAGATAAGGATTTTCTTCCATCATACTGAATAACATGTGAGCCTCCTTAAATTTGTATTTTAAACAGATAATTGTGAAGAGTGCATTTGTATAAGATAATAGAGTTGACAAAGTGAAGCAAACATTAGCCAAATTTGTTCCGTTTTGAAACTCATGAATTAAATAACCCATATTTCCAGTATAAAATATTATAGCACAGGCCATAAAAATGACTTTTCCCATTGTATTTTTGATTTTATTATTGTTGTTAGAACCAAAATATATTGAATAAAGATTAACACTGTTTAAAAGAGTCCTAATTTCTGTGTTTCTGTGCATTTTTGCAGATAATATAAATTGTACGTGTGTATTGCAAGAATCTTCTCTGGAGAATAATCTTGGAATAATTACCTCGCAATTATACAACAATTTTTACATTCTGAATAAATAATGATAATGATAATTTTACTTTTGGAAATTTTTGGTATTATATTCGTTTATATAGTATCTACATAATTAAAATTAATATTTAGGAATATTATTGGCTTAAATAATTAATGAAAATTTATGTAGTGTCAAGCAAAATAAAAATTTTACAAATCTAATCAACGAAGAAATTTTGATTACAAATTAATCTAATTAAACTAATTATTTACTATTAAAATCTAATAATAAAACATGACAACATCTTTAATTCTTTGGCAGCACTTCGCAAACAACTGAAAGTTCTTCATTGTTGTAACAATTCTTTGGCTGTTCCTCGCATATAAAATATTTGCCATGATGACACGGTGCATCGTTCCAAACTGTTGTATTTGTAAGATCTGGCCAAATATGTACGCAATGCTCGATGTTTTCATTGTTGTCCGGTTGATAAGGTAGCAACCAGTTAGTGTAAACAAATGGCTCACCAGTTGCCATCCAAACAAATCTGCCTTCTAGAGATAAATCTGTTCCACCTAACCAAAAAGACACTCTCTCCATACCTGTTTTAATGAATTATTCATTTTTATAAAATAATATCTAACATAACTAGTAAAAATATCTAAATATTTACCTGCTTTTTTGATTGTTTTCTCAAGAAGATATTGTTCATTTCTGGTATTTACAGTTGCCAATTGCAACTTAGCTTAACATTTAAACAAAGTATTAACAAAATTAATAATAACTAATTAATAGATAATAAGGTGTAGATTATTTTCTTACTGATAATGTGTTCTGAAGGTAATAGTTTTTTGCAAAAATTTCTGTACCCAAACAACTTAACAATACAAGACAAGCAAAACTAATCTTCATCTTGGCAACTATGAGTATGTACTATTTAAGATTAATGTTGGAGAACAAATATATAATCATTCAAGAGGTCAAAGTTGAAACAATGGGAAAGTCCAATATAGTAATATAAGTATGTCAGTAATATATGTCAGTTTCTTACAAACAAGAATATAATGAAAACATTTTATATATTCGTAATCAGAAAGTTTATTAAAGGAAATCAGCTAGAGATTTCAACATTGAAGTAGTTTAAACTAGATGTTTGATTGGCAAGTTTTTAAAATTACAAGTAAAATTGTTTGCCTATCTTCTCGCTAAACCGGTTAAAAGTGTGGTTATGTACTGTATTTGCCATCCAAAGCTGATAAGTGCAGAAAATTTATTTGATTTAATAAAACAGGATATGTGTTGCTTGAAGTTATGCTAATTGCAAAACTTTTATTTCGGTTGCTCTTCGCAAATAACTGTGAATTCCTCATCGTTATAACAGTTCTTCGGTTGTTCCTCGCATATAAAAAAAATTTCATGAAGGCAAGGAGCGTCGTTCCATACTGTTGTGTTTGTTATATCTGGCCAAATATGTACGCAATGCTCAATGTTGTCATAGTTGTCAGATTGGCCACCAACCAGGTCTGGTCGCAACCAATTTGTATACGCAAATGGCTCACCAGTTGCCATCCATACAAATTTGCCTTCTTTTGTTAAGTCTGATCCACCTATCCAAAACGATGCTTTCTCCATACCTGTTTTATTTAATTATTCAGTTTTGCTTTGCCATATTCTAAATAATTAATGGAAATAAACAAACATTTACCTGCTTTTTTGATAGTTCTTTCCAGATGAGTTTGTTCATTTCTGGTATTCACCGTAGCCAATTGTAAGCCTTGCTGGGCACAGTTTTCAAATGATCCATACCAAATTGACTTAAATATTAAACAAAATATTATTTACTCAAACAAGTTAAAATTTTAGTTATTGCCATACCGAAAATCTGTTTTAGATGTAATAGGTTTTTCCGTAAATTTCAGAGGAATAAAAACTTAGTATTATTAAACACAGAAAAATGAACTTCATCTTGTCACCACTGCGTATAACAGCAAAAATGAAACAATCTTATCATGTAAAAGGTTAAAGCTGATGGTTATAATAGTGATAGTGTCGGTTTGTTTCTGTTGTGAGGGTAAAGAGAAAGACACATAAATTATATATTTTTTACCTCAGTCTCTCACATACAACTGTAATATCTTCATTGTTATAACAATTTTTTGGTTGATCTTCACAAATAAAATATTTTGGGTTATTGCAAGGAGCATCATTCCATTCAAATGTGTTTCTTGCGAATGGCCAAATATCCACACAGTTTTCTACTCCGTTTCTGTTGGTGTTGTCTGGTTGATCAGGCAGCCAATTCGTGTAACCAAATGGTTCCCCGGAAGCTGTCCAGACAAAACTACCTTCTTTGGCTAAGTCAGAACCACCTGTCCAGAAAGATGTTTTTTCTAACCCTACAAAGACAAACAGAATTTCAATAAGTTTAATATTATAAACTTCAACTATAGTATGAAAATTTAATGTTAATTATAGTTATATATATCGACAAAAGATGGCTCTTCACTATAATTGAAAATCTTGTTGATGCAGTCAGTTCATAAAACTTTCATGAAATAAAAAAGAATAGTAATAATATATTAACAATACCAGCTGCTTTTATAGTCTTCTCTAAAGTATTCTGTTCATTTTTGGTCAGGATAGTAGCCATCTGCCTTCTTTGCAGGGCACAGTTTTCCAATGCCGCATGCCAATTATGTTTAAAACCAATTAAAATACAATTACCATAATTAAATTACCTACTTCCAATACAACACAATACCGGTGTTTTATTTTGTATATAATAAGTTTTTCCATATATTTCCGCACATAGAATACTAAGCAATATAAAACCCGCTAATATAAACTTCATCTCGACTACTCGACTAGCAAACTATTTATGATTGACGTCGTATTCTAATAATCTTATTTAAACTAAGGTCAACGTTTAACATAGGAAGAAAAGCCTATAAAATAATTTCTCTCATTTAATATTTTATTTCAATCTTTCACAAACAACTGTAATATCTTCGTTGTTATAACAATTCTTTGGTTGATCTTCACAAAAAAAAAACTTTGGATAATTACACGGTGCATCATTCTATTCCAGTGTCTTTCTTGCAATTGGCCAAAGATCCATGCAATTCTCTGCTTCGTTAAAGTAGTTATTATCAGCAAACAGTGTATCATAAGCACAGTTTTCATCAAGCCTAATGAAAGGCCGGCAATGAAACAAACTGAATATAAATTGTAAAGAACGGCGCTGATAATGTTAAATGTTATTAATAAAAAAGTACTAAAACATAAATAAATTTTAAAAGAAAACATTTTGGATAAATTAATAACTTACACTTGGAAAAGCATATCCGCATGAATACTGCCTTGATTTATCATTACATGTTTGCAATTCAACGATTAACATACCCAAAGAGACAAATATTGCTGCATAAAAATAAAAGAACCTCAGTGATCTGTTGTTCCAATGAATGTCACGTAGTACATTCACATTTTTTAAGCTTAGATAAGGATTTTCTTCCATCATACTGAATAACATGTGAGCCTCCTTAAATTTGTATTTGAAACAATTAATTGTGAAGAGTGCATTTGTATAGGATAATAGAGTTGACAAAGTGAAGCAAACATTAGCCAAATTTGTTCCGTTTAGAAACTCATGAATTAAATAACCGATACTTCCAGTATAAAATATTATAGCCCAGGCCATAAAAATTACTTTTCCCACTGCATTTCTGATTTTATGATTGTTGTTTGAGCCTAAATATATTGAATAACTAGCGACCCGCCCCGGCTTCGCACGGAAGTAAAAAACCGCATCAAAATTCGTTGCGTAGTTTCAATGATTTAAGCATACAAAGGGACAGACAGAGAAAGCGACTTTCCTTCTCCAAACAAAAACATCAACCGGTCAACTTCAACCCATACGTACACACATACACACGTCTATGCTTGGAGGGGGAAGCTACGAAGCATCGCACAAAGAGGAGACGGGAATAATCGAAAACTTTGTATTTACGACATCACATTAGAAACCTCAAAAATAACAGTACTTCCCCACTATTTAATGGATGTTATTATACATACAAACCTTCCTCTTGAATTACTCTATCTATTAAAAAAAACGGCATCAAAATCCGTTGCGCAGTTTCAAAGATTTAAGCATTCAACGGGACCGGAAAAAAAAGCGACTTTACTTTATACTATGTAGTGATAGTGAAGATTAACACTGTTTAGAAGAGCCCTAATTTCTGTATTTCTGTGCATTTTTGCAGATAATATAAATTGTACGTGTGTATTGCAAGAATCTTCTCTGAGAATAATCTTAGAATTATTACCTTGCAATTATACAACAATTTTTTCATTCTGAATAAATAATGATAATGATAATTTTACTTTTGGTAATTTTTGGTATTATATTCGTTTATATAGTATCTATATTATTAAAATTAATATTTAGGAATATTATTGGCTTAAATAATTAATGAAAGTTTATGTAAGACTATTTATTGTCAAGCAAAATAAAAATTTTACAAATCTAATCAACGATGAAATTTTATTACAAATTAATGTAATTAAACTAATTATTTACTATTAAAATCTAATAATAAAACATGGCAACATCTTTAATTCTTTGGCCGCACTTTGCAAACAACTGAAAGTTCTTCATTGTTGTAACAATTCTTCGGCTGTTCCTCGCATATAAAATATTTGCCATGATGACACGGTGCATCGTTCCAAACTGTTGTATTTGTAAGATCTGGCCAAATATGTACGCAATGCTCGATGTTTTCATTGTTGTCCGGTTGACTAGGTAGCAACCAGTTCGTGTAAACAAATGGCTCACCAGTTGCCATCCAAACGAATCTGCCTTCTCGAGATAAATCTGTTCCACCTAACCAAAAAGACACTCTCTCCATACCTGTTTTAATTAATTATTCATTTTTATAAAATAACATCTAACATAACTAGTAAAAATATCTAAATATTTACCTGCTTTTTTGATTGTTTTCTCAAGAAGATGTTGTTCATTTCTGGTATTTACAGTTGCCAATTGCAGTCCTTGCCTCGCACAGTTTTCGAATGATGCATACCAACTTAGCTTAACATTTAAACAAAGTATTAACAAAATTAATAATAACTAATTAATAAATAATAAGGTGGAGATTATTTTCTTACTGATAATTTGTTCTGAAGGTAATAGTTTTTTGCAAAAATTTCTGTACTCAAACAACTTAACAATACAAGACAAGCAAAACTAAACTTCATCTTGGCAACTATGAGTGTGTACTATTTAAGTTTAATGTTGGAGTGCAAATATTTAAACATTCAAGAGGTCAAAGTTGAAAAAATAGGGAAATCCAATATGGTAATATAAGTATGTCAGTTACTTACAAACAAGAATATAATAAAAACATTTTATATATTCTACAAGTTTAATTATACATGACATTGGAAATAATTTGCAGTTGCTGCATTTACTGAAATTTGTCATAATATCATATTAGTTTTATCGTAATCAGAAAGTTTATTAAAGGAAATCAGATAGAGATTTTAACATTGAAGTAGTTTAAACTAGATGATTGATTGGCAAGTTTTTAAAATTACAAGTAAAATTGTTTGCCTACCTTCTCGCCAAACACGTTAAAAGTATGGTTAGGTACTGTATTTGCCTTACAAAGCTGATATGTGCAGAAAATTTATTTGATTTAATAAAACAGGATATGTGTTGCTTATCCTTATGCTAACTGCAAAACTTTTATTTTGGTTGCACTTCGCAAATAACTGTGAGTTCTTCATCGTTATAACAGTTCTTCGGTTGTTCCTCGCATATAAAAAATTTTTCATGAAGGCAAGGGGCGTCGTTCCATACTGTTGTGTTTGTTATATCTGGCCAAATATGTACGCAATGCTCAATGTTGTCATAGTTGTCTGGTTGGCCACCAACCAGGCCTGGTCGCAACCAATTTGTATACGCAAATGGCTCACCAGTTGCCATCCATACAAATTTGCCTTCTTTTGTTAAGTCTGATCCACCTATCCAAAACGATGCTTTCTCCATGCCTATTTTATTTAATTATTCAGTTTTGCATTGATACATACCACATTATTAATAAAAATAAATTAACGTATACCTGCTTTTTTGATAGTTCTTTCCAGATGAGTTTGTTCATTTCTGGTATTCACCGTAGCCAATTGTAAGCCTTGCTGGGCACAGTTTTCAAATGATCCATACCAATTTGACTTCAATATTAAACAAAATATTATTTACTGAATCAAGTTAAAATTTTAGTTATTTTCATACCGAAAATCTGTTTTGGATGTAATAGTTTTTTCCGTAAATTTCAGAGGAATAAAAACTTAGTATTATTAAACACAGAAAAATGAACTTCATCTTGTCACCTTGGCTTATACACTGCGCATAACAGCAAAAATGCAGCAATCTTATCGTTTCAAAGGTTAAAGTTGATGGTTATAAACATCTCAAAATAAATATAGTGTCGGTTTGTTTCTGTTGTGAGGGTAAAAAGAAAGACAGATAAGTTATAATTTTTTTTACGTCAGTCTCTCACATACAACTGTAATATCTTCATTGTTATAACAATTTTTTGGTTGATCTTCACATATAAAATATTTTGGGTTATTGCAGGGGGCATCATTCCATTCAAATGTGTTTCTGGCGAATGGCCAAATATCCACACAGTTTTCTACTCCGTTTATGTTTTTGTTGTCTGGTTGATCTGGCAGCCAATTTGTGTAACTAAAGGGTTCACCGGAAGCTGTCCAGACAAAACTACCTTCTTTGGCCAAATCAGATCCACCTATCCAGAAAGATGTTTTTTCTAACCCTACAAAGTTATACATAATTTCAATAAGTTTAATATTATAAACTTCAACTATAGTATGAAAATTTAATGTTAATTATAGTTATATATATCGACAAAAGATGGCTCTTCACTTTAATTGAAAATCTTGTTGATGCAGTCAGTCCATAAAACTTTCAAGAAATAAAAAAGAATAGTAATAATATATTAACAATACCAGCTGCTTTTATAGTCTTCTCTAAAGTATTCTGTTCATTTTTGGTCAGGATAGTAGCCATCTGCCATCCTTGCAGGGCACAGTTTTCGAATGCTGCGTGCCAATTAAGCTTAAAACCAATTAAAATATAATTACCATAATTAAATTACTCCCAATACAATTACCTGTGTTTTATTTTGTATATAATAAGTTTTTCCATATATTTCCGCACATAGGATACTAAGCAATATAAAACCCGCTAATATAAACTTCATCTCGACTACTCGACTAACAAACTGTTTATGATTGACGTCGTATTCTAATAATCTTATCTAAATTAAGGTCAACGTTTAACATAGGAAGAAAAGCCTATAAAATAATTTCTCTCACTTAATATTTTATTTCAATCTTTCACAAACAACTGTAATATCTTCGTTGTTATAACAATTCTTTGGTTGATCTTCACAAATAAAAAATTTTGGATAATTACACGGTGCATCATTCCATTCCAGTGTGTTTCTTGCCATTGGCCAAAGATCCACGCAATTCTCTGCTACATCAAAGTAGTTATTATCAGGTTGATTTGGCAACCAGTTAGTGTAACTGAATGGTTCACCGGATGCCATCCAAACAAACTTGCCTTCTTTAGCTATATCTGTTCCACCTATCCAAAACGATGTTTTTTCCAAACCTGTGCCAACACTATTACTTTATATCTAATTTTTTGTCATTATATTCTATAAAATATACCTGCCGCTTTTATAGTTGCTTCCATAGTAGCTTGTTCATTTTGTGTGATAACAGTTGCCATCTGCAATCCTTTGAGTGCACAATTTTGGAATGCTGCATGCCAGTTAAGCTTAAAATTAATTTACATATGAATTAATAATAAACAATTAATATATTCAACCTACCGTTGTTGTATTTTGTATGTAATAATTTTTTCCGTATATTTCAGCACATTGAACACTAAGCAGTACGAAACAAGCTAAAATAAACTTCATGTTGTTAACTTGACTTGTCAATTGTAAATAACTTATGTTATATGTTTGCAGATGTTATCTAAACTGGGGTCAAAGTAAAGTGATGACGTACATGCATTAAATAAAGACTAATTTTACTTTGTTTTGATTTATTATTTTAATTTCTCAGAAAAAAGAAATCGATAATATAAAAATGATCCGCAAAAGCTGCGGGTAGGCGTATAACTCAACAACGCCTCGACCAATTCGACCAATTCTTTTTTTTTAAATGTTCGTTACAGTCCATGGATGGTTTTTACGGTGGGAAAAATTTGATTAATTGCCGGAAAAACCATAAAAACACCCCTTTTCTTTTAGATAACAGTTATCATAAAGATTCAATCATTGTCATTAAGTATGTAAATATGGTGTAGAAAACACCCTGTATCTCGTGAACCAATTGACATTTTTAAAGTTTGTCACCACCATGTTAAAGCTCGAGAGTTTTTCTATACGATGCATATCTTGCCAATCAACGAGCTCTTTTAAAGGTGCCCCAAAACTCTCTTGAAAAATTGACATTTAAAAAAAAAATTAAAAACATGGCGCGCAAAACACCCTATATCTCGCGAATTAATTGACATTTTAAAAGTTCGAAAGTCTCCCTACAAGATGCATACCTTTTCGACCTTCGAGACCTTTCAGAAGTGCCCAAAAATGTTCTTTAAAAATTGACATTTTGAAAAAAAATTGAAAACATAATGTGAAAAACACCCTGTATCTCGAGAACTATTTGACTTTTTTATAGAGAGACTCTCGAACTTTAAGCTAGTGGTAAAAAACTTCAAGAAAATCAAATAGTAATCAAAATACAGGATGTTTTTCACTCCATGTTTTCAATTTTTTTGAAAGATGTCAATTTTTGAAAGGCATTTCAGAGCACTTCCGAAAGGGCTAGAAAATTGAAATAATATGCATCGTGTAGAGAAACTCTCGAGCTTTAACATGACGGTGACAAACTATAAAAATGTCAATTGGTTCATGAGATACAGGGTGTATGCTACACCATATTTACGTACTTAATGAAAAATGCTACTTTCGAAAACACATTTTTGAGCATTTTCAGAAGTGATAGGATGTTGCAAATGTTTGCATCGTGTAGGGAAACTCTCTAGCTCTAACATGGCGGTGAGAAACTGTAGAAAAGTCATATAGTTCGGGAGATACTGGGTGTTATTTTGCAGACCACAATAAAAACGAAATGTCTCTGTCAAAAGCAACGTGTTAACTGCCAAAGGAACCACGTTCCAGGTTTTATAATTGGGGATCGTTCTTTGCTTTGTTGGGTACACACATAGAAACATTTTCATCTTCATTAAAATGACGAAAGTCTGGCCGTCACGGGCTCATTGACGGTATTATCATAATGATTATAATAATTTTGTCATATATGGCAAAATATTTAACACCTGTCAACATGTATAAAATAAAAAAGTAAAATTATGACAATTTAATTGTATCTGCACTGTTTGATTCTGACAGAAGCAAAAAACTTGTGTTTAATTAAAAAATAAAATTAATGATAAACACTCTGTAGGTATGTTTACGTCATGTTAAATTTTTATGCGAATTTGCGTGCTTTCGCACGCTTGGCACGTGCACCCCGTCCGATCTTAAGCTCTGCGCGCTCTCCAGTATCTTTCCTATTTTCGGTTCCGCTTCTCTCTTGGCTTTGCCACCGTTCCGGTCGCAGGATAACAATATAAAACTCGTAAAACTAACAGTGCAGTGTAATTCTACCGCTGGCAAAATGTAATACATTGTACAAATGCGCATTCTACCTACAAGTACGATTGCTGCCATCGGTCGCAGTTTTATGCCAAGTTTACTCCTTCTACATGCCAACAGGACAACACAAGCAGCAGGACCTCATGCGACGAGACGACCGCTTGCTTTATTGTAGTAACCTGCTTCGTATGTGACTGGAATGCCAAACTTTTTAGGTTAGTACATGCTTCATACCGAATGTTACCGAAATGATACAACTATAAACACCCGGTATAATAAATTAGAGTCACTCGTTGCGCATTCAAGACTGGAATTGTTCGTGTTTCTCGTATTCCTGTTGTCCGCCGAGCCATTTTAGGGCGTTCACTCGCTGCCAGCAGGAATACTTCTGTAACTAGTGTATATGCACAAAGCGGGTGGAAATTTAAATTAAATTCTCCGCTCTATTCGTTGTTTCGTTAGCGTTTTAGCATAATGCCCTCTTTTCGCTCGTCGACAAAAACTTCCAACAAGGATTTAATTAATTAGGCGAGTTAATTTTTTAGCACAACAATACTCTTTTTCAATCATCTTAAAATGTCGCTCCAAATAAGGAAATTTGCGTTCCGTTTTAAATTCTTTTATTACGCCGATTTCGTTAATTTCTTCCTCAACTCGCTACAAGATAATTATTTTTTTTGTCTTACTGTTCGTCTTACTTTGCTTTAGATTAGCGAAAAGAGCAAAAAATAAAACGGGCGAAATTTTGCGACTTAATTGAAATCATAATGTAGACGTCGTAATTTTTCCTCCTCGAGACTCTCACGCACAGAAGTGAAAAAGGAAGCGGATAACTAGCAGTCGCCGTGGCCAGCAGTCGGAACGAAATTTATTAGCGAAATGAAGTGCGAATAAGACAAGCGGATAATTTTAAAATCCAGCTGTAATTTTCGCCTCGCCTTTTCTAACGCTCAGTTCACATTTTCAGCGCGTAACTCTCGTTCGGCTCGATGCCAGGAGGGAAATCAGCTTTACGTACGTTGATTCGAACGTGACCGTAATTCATTTTTCAAGTGGCACAACAGAAAATACGAAAACGTTGCAGAATTAATAAATGACGTCGAATTAATCAACTTTTACTTAAGTTTTATTTTTACACCAACTTATCTAAGTCTTGTTTCACTGAAATAACCGTTTAATATAGTTTAACCTCGAATACTTTTATTTCCATCACTTTAAACACGGTGTATAGGTGTTGAATAAGATAATTTGCCAGAAATGATCGAAGTTTGCGAGTGTTCCGCGTCGTTCGAAAGGATATCATACTAATACAGCCCCATTAGTATGCAACTTCATTCGTCCTGTGACGCCGATGACTTATTGTCTGCGCCAAGGTGCTCGCGTCGTTGCGCCGCACGAAAATCGTAAAGTTTTAATGTGACATTTGCATATAAATGAAGTTATTCCGAAGTACGCGTTCTCCTGCGAATGTAATGCTCACATCCTTCGTTTGTTTTCCAAGTTTGCGGCGCATGTTTCAAGGACGTGGCGGAATTGAAGTGTTCCGAACGAAATATTCATCGTACTGACACATTTCACACGAAGAAAAAGCAGTGAATCTCGAAGACAGGAAGCGAATGAAAAGTTGGAAGAAAAGGATGTTGAAGTAGAACGACGGCAAACAAACACGTCGATGTGGAGGTGCCGCAGCGCGCTGAAATATTGAAATGGGTTATAAATCTTCGCGGGGTGTGTAGATATACCTCCCACTTTATGTAGAAGAAGTGAGGCGTTTTTCAAATATGCACCACTTATGACAAGGCATTGAAATTGAAAGGCTGCGTGGAACAAAAAACATTGGGAGTGGATTTCATACGAAATGGTGCGAAAACAATAGGAGGACATCTGCAATGCATCATTTTTCAACCAAAAAAACACTCTAAAATAAATTTAATATTTTATTATGACGTCACATTTTATAAAAACAACCCCATGTGTTTTTTTTATATTTAAGTATATAATTTAATTAGCTGTGTTTTTCTTAGCGTGTTTTTTAACTTGGTTTTTCAAGTCACGTCTTGCTGACTTTCCAGACAACAGACGACGAAAAAAACATCCCTTGTCGAAGATGAAGACCACGCAAAGAATATGGCAGGCGACCAACGATGCGCCGGGACAAGACAAATCGCCATCGGTCGATAAATGATGTTTGCGTCTTTTTGCGCATCCGATTGTTGGGGAAGTTTGTATGATGCTTTTACAAAATCCGACATGCTGCGCTTGCATCGCGCACGCCGGAAAAATGCGCAAATGCACTCGTCAATTTTTGTCTCCTCGGGGGAAAATGTGACGCAAAGTAGTTGTGAAAACACTGTCAGAAATGCATTTACGCAACGTCGCCTCAGGAAATATTCTATAAACAAGTTTGACATAGTTTTCAGCTTAAAAATTGTGTTTTTTAGTCTTCACGTCAAATATTTATAAAATATTTACAATATAGCTTTTTCTAAAATCAATTTTGCTTGAAGTTTTTTTAAGAATGTTTTGCTTGATATTTTTTATTAGAATGAGTAAAGAAAACACGAAACGCATGTCATAATGTAGTATATCATGCGGTAGTGAAAAGGGAGAGAATTGGAGGTGGCAAAAGGGCGATGATAATAGATGATATTTATGAGCGCGTGAGCACGGAGTGCGCGATTTATTCGTACGCTCGATTTCGAAAGGCTCAATTGTTTTCGACGCGCCCTTTTCACGTAGAAAATTCCATACCGTGCCAGCCACCCCAAATTCGTCTGCATGCTTGCCCTCGTAAAACACGCTATTCCCTACTTTCAAATCAAATGGTATTAACTAATGTAGTATTGGTTAAAAATACCGATTTAGAATTTTACAAAACAAAACTAATAAAAATCAATTTGAGGTTATGTTATGTCATGCAATGCGTCCATTTTGTTACAAATTTTAAACTAGCACCTATTTTTTTTAACTTTTAACAAATCAATCATGTAAAACACTTCTTTTACATAAATTTACGCCACTTAAACAAAAATTTATCTGTTATGTTTAGACGTGTAAATGATTAGAATGTAATTCAGCATGAAACAGCGTAATAACATCTATGCACTGTCGGCTCTCTGCGTCCGTGATCCGATTAGGTAAACGGCGATTAATTTCCATGATCCCACCGCACGCCCACGTCTCTGTCGTAATTGGTAATTTCGCATTAGCGACGTTTATCGGTAGACGTAGGTGTACGCCTCGTCTCCCCGAGC